TAAGTACTGTTACATTGAATATCTTCAAAGCTATCATTCGTAACCAAAGTTTTGTAAAAGTTATATATTGTGTTGAAAATTGAAATATGCTAAAATCATTTATTTTCATCTCAGAAAAGAAAACCCCGTTTCCAACGTCTGACGTTCAGTAAATGGAACATGTTTTCCGTTGAACCCCATTGCCAGTTAGATATCTCATCACAGATATCCGGCTTAAAATAAGCTACGCCAGACGCGCGTTTCGCCTGTCTGCAAAAGACTCATTAGTGGCGCTCGAATCCAAACAGTTGGAGACCAAACCAAAAACAAAGTTTAAGAATATTGAAAACCAAAAATTTTTAAAAAGTTGTACAAAATCCAGCTTTCGCCATCAACACGTATGTCTTGGCGTTAACAAAAACTCATTTTTTCTATATAACTATTCATTACTTGACACAAAGTATATAACTCCGATCATTAAACACACATTTAATTTTCGTCTTTTGCACTTTAGTTCTTACTTTAGAAATTTATCATGTGATTGATATGTTTTATCCGTATGTTGTAGGTCTACTTCGTTTTGCTCTTGCAAAAACTCTACCACCAGCACCACAAGCTAAATGTTGAGGAATCCCAATGGAAAGGCGATATTTAGGATTTGGTATTAATAAAAATTCTAACATTGTCTTTTTTACTTTGTTTTTTTACCAATTGCTGAATATTTGAATACGTACACTGACACTAACTTATTCAACAAAATACAAGATACAATAAATTGATATTTTTGTGAAGAATAACATATATAGTATGCAATTAGAGATTATTTTATATCAAAATGATGGGTCTTTTTTTATGATCCACCTACGATAGTGATCACAAGAATTCAACAAGGTTTTTAAGAAAGAAATGAGAAGAAATAGGACGCTTACATCATGTACAAAGTATTTTATTTTACAATGATTTTTTTTAATGAAATTCACGTTCACATCTTTTTGTATCTATGTCTGTCCAAATCAGTTGAAGATAATACATACATGTGCAGCTGAATTGATATCTAAACTGTCTAGTAAAACTACATGACGAGTCTTCAAGATTTAATGCTATGTGACATGTAGACTACACAAGTTATATTTAGCAACAAGCAAACAAGAAATCATCGGTAAAGAAAACAAATTTTACCAAATAAGATAAAGGTGAAATACAAAAGGTGGAAATAGCAAATATCGCGGATATCTTTTTGTTGCGTAAGCCCTTTTAGGCCGATTTAATGGTTTATATATTAATTCTGCTGCACATGTGTGAAATTCAGAGTTGTTCTTTTATCGTCTTCAACTGATTTGTTCTGAATTGTCTCAGACCTGCTTAGGGGTACCTGTAGAGGTAAATGTATGATTTGAATTGCTATTGTGCTTACTGTTGAAGTCTGTAAATTAATAAATTTATTGTACATTTCTTTGATTTCCAAATAAGATAGCATTCCAACTAAATTTCAAGAGTTACAAAAAAGAATAGCAAAATACTATAAATAGACAGTAATAAAAATTTAAACATATCAGTAAGAAAAGTTATGATAAAATTTTCTATTGGAATTCTTACCACAAAAGAGATTAATTCAATTCAATTCAAATCTTTATTGCCATTACACCATATATTTATATAGCATGTGACACAACATAACAAAATAAAAGTAAGCAATATCAACAAGATCATTAATATACATAATAAAAGTAAATATTTCAAGAGTCCCCTGACCTCAGTTCTATAGACTGTTTTAAAAAGGATCCGAACTTATTTACCTGAATGTGTGATCTTGGGTTGAGTATATATGTAATTTTATCTATATCATTTAAATCTGTAGAGTGCATATTCTCATTTATCAAAACATCAAAATAAACTTTTTTTATTATTACTGTTACTATCATAATATAAAAAGAAATGAATTTGATCTTCAATTCTTTTGGCAGTTTTTGCATAATCTTACTTCTCTTGGTATTTTAAGATATCTTCCCTTTTCTATTAACAAATTGTGGTCACTTATTCTAAATTTTGTTATCAGTTTTCTAAATACAAATTTTGAGCAAGTTAAATTTTTCTTCTGTATTATTTAGTTTTACATTTTCATAAATAGTGAGTTTTCTGTCATCCTTTATATCTGATATTTTATCCTTTATTAGCTTTTCATAATTATTAAAAATAATAATTGTGAATTTAGTTTCACTCGTTATTAGGAATAAATTAGAGTTACCTCTCTTTATACATCTGACTGGCTTGTCTCTTTTGTTATTCATTTTCTGTTCATTGAAAAGGTAATACAACAAAATATTGCAATTCTGTTATTTTTGCGTTGTTTTTTTTTATCATTTTTAAATGATGAGTAGAATACTATTTACTTTTTTAAAGAATTATGCAACAAATTAAAAATATTCGTTCAGACATGTTACCGACGTTATAATAAAACTGGCAGAACGTTGATTTAAGTTGACATATTAACCGTGTTCTGATTGACTGATTTGATCAATCAAAACACGAAAAAAGTAAAAGAAAAAGGAATTGGAATATCAAATGTACAAAGGTTTGTCTGTTAGAAATTTCAATGGACTGAGTTAAATATATTCTGGTCATCAACGGATAGTCAATTTGAATTTTTATTAAATCTGTTGTATTTTGGATTCTTTGATTATAAAAAAAAATAAATATGTACCACATCAAGCTTTATTAGTTCTCCTCTAATTTTAAGTTTATTTTCGGAAAAATCTTTTGAAGATTTGAAGGGCCTTGTTGCCTTTTCATTCTATTCGGAGATTTAAATCTTTGAAACTAACGCTATTGTTTTTTTTTTTAAATTCTGCTGGATTATAAATACATTGTAATATGTGTAAAAACAATATGATTATGAAAAGGAAAAAATATTTATAGCAACCTTTTACAAATGAGTCTCAACCGACTTTGCGCCTACCATATCAAAATATTTTTTCTTCAACGTAACTTCATACAAACATAAATAATTGGACTGAGTCCTGAAATAAACCAAATTCTGCCTTTGCGTTCATTTTGTTCGCGTTCGCCCTTGCATAAGTTGGATAATTAGCGATCACATCCTGAATTATAGTACGGATTGCAAAATATTCTATAAAAATATATGACGTTACATGCATCACTGCATACGTTGTTTTTTTTAACTTCATCACGAATTGGTTTCTTTTTCAAATTATCTGTTGCTGATGTTTCAAGTTACTATCTACTGTGATTACCTCTTTTATAATTTTTATTAGGACTGGTGTAAAATACATGCAACAAGCAGCATGCCTATTATGTAAAGAAAAACACATTAAATAAAATGGGAGGTTCCCTAAGCGAGGCATGTCGAGTTTTGTTCTTTTCAATTAACTGGTCTTTAAAATCAGACGAACCGATAAATCAAAGTTGCAGCTACTGGGCCGTTATTTCAATAAGGTACATTGTACATACTGTCTAATAGCCAATACTAATGGTTTTGGTGCCATTTACTATTGATCTCGAACATATCTGAAGGTGATACTTTAAGCAACACGCGTTGTGTGAACAAAATTAAGTATCAATACCTTTTTTATGATGATCCCGTTTAAGCGGTAAATTCTCAGTGTACAAATTGTGTTATTGTAAAAACTAAGGTTGCCATGCAGTCAGTATTTGGGTGGATTTTGGTGTTTTGCGTACTAGGCCCTTTTTGATAAGATGCCTTTACGTTTAAACGTTTGATATTTTTGGCTTTTAAAAAAAATTGAGGATTCCTAATGAAGGTTCATACAAAAGACACGTGACGTGCGCACTAACTTTGATAGCAAAAGTTTAATATATTAGACGCACTAAGTTTTTTTGCACCCTCCACTGAATGTCAACAATGTATTATTAGTTACATGGTGTGTTAGTGACCTAATACGATATATATGGGGTCAGTAAATCCCCATATGGAATTTACTGACCCCATATATATCGTATTAGGTCACTAACACACCGTGTAACGAATTTATCTTACCGACTATCTTCACATGTGGTATTTAGACTAGCGGCCTATCAAAGTGATTAAGTCTTCGATACTTAGTATTAAGAACCTACTTCCATTTGTCTATACAAAAAACAAATGCCAACAATAACAACTTGTTAGCTTTAAATTTGTTTTATGAATTTATTTCAATCGTTCATTATCAATTTCTTCGTCTGTTGAAACCTTTCAGATTTCTTTTTTGTTTTGAAAGGGAAGTAACTCCTTACTAACCCCATATGGTAACTAACCCCATATTTTTAAGGACACCCTATATCAAATATATGTAGTCACCACGTGTAGTCCTTTAACCAATCATGTCCCAGAAATCTATAGGAGGTACTCCTCTAGAGCTGCGAGAGTACATTGGAATCCGTGTTCACTCCTTATCGGTATTTATGGAGATGTGTAGCTAACGTATTTGCAACAATATTTACAAGGACAGTCCCCATCCCAGCACAAAGGGAGTGCTAAGACATCGGGAAGTCTGTTATTATGGCGGAGAAGCCGAAGTACTTGGAGAGAACCACCTGGCTGCTCGGGAACAGAAAAATCGAAAAGGTATCAGCAGATTGATCTTCAGGTCAAAGTCGGGGGTAACTTTGACCAACCGAGGTCCCAAAAGTGCAATAATTTCTTTATTTGTTGTTAATTTCTGCGATGTATATGATTCACCTTTTTCGAAGTCAAAACTAGTCGGATTGATTTGTCTTATATAAAAATAAGAAGATGTGGAATTACTGACAATGAGACAACTCTCCACCAGAGACCAAACGACATAGAAGTTTACAACTTTAATGTCCAATGGAAAATTGTTCATGCATATTCAGACGTATTTTAACGAAGCAGGCGACCACGTGCACAAATTAATCACCTATTTTAGTTTTTTTACAATTCTTGTCGTATAATTAGAATCTCTTACATGTACAAACATGAAATTTATTTTTGATGTTAAAGGCCGAGAATTTCACGGTCCACGCCTAGCAAACATCGATTTATTTTTATTCATTTGAAGCAGAAGATTGTTTAAAAAACGAACATTTAAACGTTACTAACGTAGACCCAGCATTATCATCCCATGGTGTTATTATTTCCCGGATGATGTTTAATTTTTAACAGTTTCGTAACAGTCCTATATTATGTCCTTCTTCCTCATGTCTCGGATATCGGGTGCATTTAAACGTTAAAAATTTTTACTGCGTTTAAAGTTTTAACTAAAGAAATATAGGACGCATGACTTTCGTTAAATATGACACATATAAGTCAACAAATATAACATAACACAAAGGTTGTAAATATTTTTATAATGGAGAAGGACAAGAAGTTGTTAATTTTCTGTGTTCTATTCGCTATTTCTGGTAAGAATTTATAGAATACTTTTATTTTCTTTATAAAAATAATGGAATAAGATAAACTACATATAGCTTTCTACGCACTATTTTCCCCCATCTAATTGCAGTTCAAATTGCTTTTGCCAATGATATATCAAAGTGTATTAAAAGTCGAACCAACACAAAATACAAAAAAGATATCAAGGGGTTAACAAACGGTCATCAGCAATACTAAGGTGTCTATCATTTTTTTAAAATATGTTAAGCTCTTTAATATCTCGAGTCTGGAAAAGAAGGGAATAAACTTAACAAAGGGAATCAAAACCTAATTTCCTAATATGAACTAAGCTAGTAACGATGTACCTGTCTTGGGACAGACATAATAACATGTGGCGGGATTAAACTATAAATCACAGCTTAGTTATTCAAGCCCATTTGAAAGCTATAAACAAAACTTCAACCTCAAAGGAGTAGTCTAGATTATACAAGAAAAAAAATAGAAATAAAGAAATCAGGAAGTCGCTCTTGTTAAATGTCTTTTGATTTTCGTTCATGTAAAATATACAATATGTGGTTATCCCAAGTCAGAAACCTCTAGCCTTTTTAGTCTTGTGTGTTTTTTAATTTTTGTTCATTTATATGTTACGGAGTTTAGTTTGGCGTCCATTTCGCTGAACTAGTATACATCATTGTTTAGGGGTCAGCTGAAGCCCGCCTCCAGGTGCGGGACTTTCCCGCTGCGTTGAAGACCCATTGGTAGCCTTAGGCTGTTTTCTACTCTTTGGTCGGGTTTGTTGTCTCTTTGATACATTCCCAGTTTCCATTCTCAATTCTAATATGTGGTTATCTGTGTTAAGAAAATTCCAAATATGAAGGTTCCAATATAGATTTTATATATTGAAAACATTTGATAAAGAAATAGAATTAAAACCAGAAAAATATGTCCATGTTCTTTTCTTTATAAATATTATAGATAAAAGCAATTATTAATTTCGCGGGACAAAAAAAAAAGAAGTTCCATTGATATTTCATATATTTTCTATAGAAACGTTTTCTCTGTCAAAATCATTCAAGATGTAACAAGAATTAAACTTAATTTTGCAGTTTAAAATGTATTTAAGAAAATTATGAAAGGGGAGTTACTTGACAATGATCTAATATTATCAAATTGGAAACGCATAGAGGAGCTTTAAATAAGAAAACAAGATGACAGATATGACCATTATCCCACAAAATATATATTATAGTGTTATTTGCATTTTAAGGTACATCAAAAACGTTTTTTATATAATAAAAGGCACATCTTGCCTTTGTTTTTAAGTTACATATCTATATTGTTTAAATTTTCAAATACTGTATATTAGATTATTTATAGAAATTTGAAATAAACTTTGTAAATGTATAAATCAAATAATTGGGTTTTTTTTTATGATTTTTTATATTACCATACAAAGAAAATAGGTTATACAATCTCTTATAATAGATGTTTATAGGAGTTTACCTCTCCAATATAAATCACAATTTATTTTTTTGGAATAATCAATAAAAAAAATGTTTCGGTTATTTTCTCCACAACAATTTCAATATTAAGTTTATTATGAATATCTTTCTCAATTTAATGTAAATAAAATGAAGAAAAAGATGTTTGCTAATTTAGAGAACAAATCTTGGACTCGCATTTTAGTATTTTGAATTCAATGGAACGATTAATTTATCTTAAATTCAGTTACACCAGCAGCTTTGTAATTTGTAAATTAAAAAAGAGGCTGTGAGCTACAAGTATTAAAGACCACATGTTTACCTCTGGCCCGTGTTGTTGGTTCGTTGTCTCTCGGACTTTTACCTAATTTTCCCCCATACATCCGCAATGAAACGAAGTATTTAAAATAATATTAATATTAATATTAATATTAACCGTGTTCTGATTGACTGATTTGATCAATCAAAACACGAAAAAAGTAAAAGAAAAAGGAATTGGAATATCAAATGTACAAAGGTTTGTCCGTTAGAAATTTCAATGGACTGAGTTAAATTTATTCTGGTCATCAACGGATAGTCAATTTGAATTTTTATTAAATCTGTTGTATTTTGGATTCTTTGATTATAACAAAAAATAAATATGTACCACATCAAGCTTTATTAGTTCTCCTCTAATTTTTCAGTTTATTTTCGGAAAAATCTTTTGAAGATTTGAAGGGCCTTGTTGCCTTTTCATTCTATTCGGAGATTTAAATCTTTGAAACTAACGCTATTGTTTTTTTTAAATTCTGCTGAATTATAAATACATTGTAATATGTGTAAAAACAATATGATTATGAAAAGGAAAAAATATTTATAGCAACCTTTTACAAATGAGTCTCAACCGACTTTGCGCCTACTATATCAAAATATTTTTTCTTCAACGTAACTTCATACAAACATAAATAATTGGACTGAGTCCTCAATAAACCAAATTGTGCCTTTGCGTTCAGATGTTTGCTAATTTAGAGAACAAATCTTGGACTCGCATTTTAGTATTTTGAATTCAATGGAACGATTAATTTATCTTAAATTCAGTTACACCAGCAGCTTTGTAATTTGTAAATTAAAAAAGAGGCTGTGAGCTACAAGTATTAAAGACCACATGTTTACCTCTGGCCCGTGTTGTTGGTTCGTTGTCTCTCGGACTTTTACCTAATTTTCCCCCATACATCCGCAATGAAACGAAGTATTTAAAATCATACCTTTAGACACGGATGTGGCTCTCGTCTTTCAACCTCAGACATTGCTCGTTGTTACTGAACCCATTCTAACTCAGATAACCTTGAGGTCAAAAGAGAAAAGGTGTGCATTATTATTTGTGTAATATATAACTATACAAATGTTTTGTTATAAAACTATACAAACAAACTATAGGTAAATCTGTTATACAAAATCTTGAAAACTTACCACTTCAATAAAATCGCAAATAATTCCAAACATTTCGGTAATAATTCAATGAGATAGAATACTATGAATATTTTTACTACTTAACTATGAAAATAAAATAAATAAATGATATTTGTAATTTTAAGAGAAAAATCTTAGAATCATTGTTGACGATTCACGGTGATTTTAATTCAACGAAAAACGCACGATAAATGTATCTCAAATTCATTTACACACTAACCGGTTTGAGATACATGTGTCTGAAGCTTGTTAAAATAGTTAGTAGGGCAGTTGGGGGTAGTGATATTTCTTTTGTTTATGGAACGAAAGGGATACGATGACTTTTGATGTATCAATCCATGACACGAAACCCCTACATCCACATGACAAAATTGAAAGAAAAAGAACAGTGATTGTATTCCTGTTCTTTATCTCACAGTCACAACGAGGCCTTCGACATGTAACTAATAAAAGTTTAAGACAGTCATAAGAATAATTGCGGGGTCATTTTTCCCCTTACATTTCGATTTATTGCTGATCACATATGCGGTAAAAACCAACAAACTACCAAGCGAAAAAATCTAACAAATACCGCCGTTACTTTCCAGACAATTTGAAATTACAGAAAGAAAAAAAAATTAATTTAGATATTCACGTGCAAAACCAAGATATTTGTTTTGATAACTAGGCAGAAAATAATGTATGAATAGGAAAAATTATTCAGATAGATTGCATAAGACTGTTTATAATTAAGCAAGAGAGAAAGCACGGAAGTAATATACATACCAGTAGTTATAGAATTCCAATATCAGGTGGTCGTTATAATATTAAGCAATAAGTATTCGCATAAGTATCTAAAGATTAAATATGCAATAACTGTAAAAATAATAAAAAATGTTTAGCAAGTAATTGGACATACTCCTCAAACTAAAAATCCAATGTCAGGATGTTTTTAGCCTTAAAAACATCACTTGGTATTTATGAGTAAAATTTTTCCCTAATGAGTTTATTTCTTCATTTTTTTTAGTTTCATCATGCTATGGACGATTCAGAGGAAGATATCGGAGTGGTGGTTATTATTATAGAGGGGGATATTATGGCTCATACAGCTCCTATAGCAGCAGGTAGTTGTAATACCAGATTATTTTGATTTTACTTCATGTTGAAATGCCAGCTTTTTAATTGGTTAAAACGAGCTAGAGTAACTTTCTAAACTTAATATATAGCTCAGCGTTTGACTTTACGTTTTTAATGTAACCCCCTTGTAATAACCAACAAAAACTAGCAAAACAAAAATCAATGGTTTGAAAAAAAGAGTTATAACACATCATTCAGTATAGTACATTAATGGAAAAAGAAATAAAAAATGAAATTCAATGCTTCTTTTTGTAATTTTATTGGGGTGTTAAAGTGTTGACCGAAGAATATTTTGTATGAAGCGCGGAAGCGCTTCATTCTAAAAATGTGTGCACGATCAACACTTTTACACCCCAATAAAATAACAAAAAGAAGCATTGAATTTCATTTTTTATAATTACATTTTTATGCTAATAAGATCATGAAAAGTTTTATCAAGTTTTATTTTTATTTACCTGTGCACTTTTTTGTGGAAGCACGTATCATCACGAATGTAACATTTCATTTTGATATGAAGGTTGATTTTTGAATGACGCGCGATTGTTGTTAGCCAATCAAACTAACGAATTCTCGTGAAACATACATGTAATGTAATTATTTCCTTGTAAAAACAATAATTGTCAACGCTACACCTATTGTGTGTTATTCACAAACAAATTTCGTATTCAAACATTTTTTATGAATACAAACATAATGTCTTCTTTCTTTACCCATCTTAAATCATGGGGATGTGGTATGTGGCAACACAAGCATAAATCGTTGAATTTTATGTCAGACCTTGTAAATTAATCTTTTAAGATTGTTGTCTTGGTAACGTTCAGCGGGAAATATTTCATGCATATTTAGGACGAGATCGTCATGATATCAAATTTAATATGTAAGCTCTACAGAGTGGATTGACCGGGATGAAGGGCGAACAAATTGGACTCCCTACTGGAATTTAAATGTCAAAAAGTAAAATAGCGGCGCAAAGGTGAATTGAGATATTATAGAAGCGTCTCTTTAATAAGACATACTTCGGAGATTTTTGTTTAAATTACTGCTCCGGACTTAGTCTATCTAATCAAGGAGTGGACATCTCTGAAATATGACTTATTAATCATAAATTTCCCAAACTTAAAAGTTCGTTTTAAGTATCGCTTTTCAACTTATGATAAAGACAATCAAGTTACCGATTTTATTTACAAATGTAATCATTGAGAAGTTTTTAAAGCTTAAAGAAAATTATGACATTGACCTACTCAGTACAAAGCACCTTATATATACCTTTAAGTTAACTCCATTTCAATAAGATTAAGAATTTAACTACGTAACAAAACATCGTTATGCACTATACTTCGGTACTGATATCATAAATAAAGATACATAAAATTGAGAATGGAAATGGGGAAAGTGTCAAAGAGACAAAAACCCGACCAAAGAGCAAAAAACAGCCGAAGGCCACTAATGGGTCTTCAACACAGCGAGAAAATCCCGCACCCGGAGGCGGGCATCAGCTGGCTCCTAAACAAAAATGTGTACTAGTTCAATGAAAATGGACGTCACACTAAACTCCAAAACATATAAATGAACTAAAATTAAAAAACATACAAGACTAACAAAGGCCAGAGGCTCCTGACTTTGGACAGGCGCAAAAATGCGGCGGGGTTAAACGTGTTTTGTGAGATCTCAACCCTCCCCTATACCTCTAGCCAATGTAGAATAAAAGAAACACACAGCAATACGCACAGTAACACTCAGTTTAAAAGAAGTTCGAGTCCGATGTCAGAATAGACAACAAAAGAAACTAAGCAAAATGACAATGATACATAAATTAACAAAGGACTACTAGCAGTTACTGACATGCCAGCTCCAGACCTCAATTAAACTGATTGAAAGATTATGTCTTCATCATATGAAAATCAAGCACAACCCCTCCCGTTAGAGGTTTACTATCATACCATCATAAAATATATGAGAAGAACATAACCCGTATAGTATAAATTGTATGTAGTTAGTGAAAATATACATGGTATAAATTGTATAAAGTTAGGAATAAAAGATACATAGTATAAATTGTATGTAGGTAGGAAAAAAGGTACAGGGTATAAAGTGTACGGAGGTAGGAAAAAAAGGTACAGGGTATAAATTGTATGTAGGTAGGAAAAAAAGGTACAGGGTATAAATTGTATAAAGGTAGGGAAAAAAGGTACAGGGTATAAATTGTATGTAGTTAGGAAAAAAGATGCATTGTATAAATTGTATGTCGTTATGGCTAAAACAAAGGTTGCAACTCCCTTTTGGGCGGTTTTGCTTGTTAAGTGAATAAAATTAGATGTGAGGTTTACGTCAATGAAACGGAAACACAAAGACACAACCAATATTTACAAAATGACACATAAATCTTCAACAGAAGACAAATGTCAAGAAAATAAGTCAAGCTGTACTTTTTCTTAGATCTCAATGTTCCCCTTTTGATTTTGATTATTGGACTAACAAATTAAGTCAAACACAAAAGAACACCAAAATAAAAATCGTACAGGAAAAGCACTTGGCTCTAAAATAACGGTAATAGACAACAAAAACATAAGAAACAAACAAAACAATGATAAACAAAATAATTCGCATTAAAGAATTAAAGAATGGTCGCAGATACTGATAGCACATAACCTGCTGATATGAAATAATGCCATCCTACACTCTAGTATTGTTGGCTGCAATTCGCAAAAGATTTTATACAGCAACGTCATGAATATAACAGAAAGATAAGATCTTGTGCAATGCCCAGAACAAACTGTAAAAAAATTCAATGCAGAAAAAAAAATAAGTTTAAGATTCGTTTTTATTATTGCTTTCAAACGTCTCATAGTTTACCAAGTGTGCGATTATTTGGCGGATGTCATGTTGATAACATTGCAGATACTGCCATCATACCAGCAGGAACATTTTTTTTAATAGAAAACAAACCATTTTACCAATTATATATTTTCATAGAACTTCGACTGGAACTATAGTTGGAGCTGTGATCGGCGTAACCATTGGCATAGCTGTGTTGGTTGTAGTTATCTTTATCATAAGAGCGTTGTGTTGCAAAACAGCTCAACGAACAAGAAATACTGGGCAAATGACCACTTGGTCTTCAAATGTGCAACGTAAGTAAAAACTTGATTTTTGATATAGAATTACAAGATATATAAAAGAAAAGGCATAAATTAGAATCAAATAAAAAGAAAGCTCATAAATTATGCTTGAAACCAATATCGGAAATTCCAGTGAAAAATGTAAAATTTTACCGAAATATGTTTAACAATAAAGATTTTAGGTGAATGAACGTGATAAATAATGCATGTGAAGAAACCAATGTATCAAAAAAGCAGTGCAATAATGCAGCTATTCATCTTGAATGTTTTCATGCATGCATAGAAAGTAATTTAACCGAAATGTAGTAGCTATTCATGTTAGAAGAAGAGGCAGTTAATATAGGCTCTCCTTAAAATGATAATCGTTAATTTGTCCTGGTACTGGATAGTTATAATTAAAATCAATTAGTTTACGGATGAAAATTGGTTAATAAATTAATTGTTATTGATATAACTTAAAATATTGTATCAATTCAAAATTTCATGAAATTTTCACACTAGTTCCAAATTGAAAAAAAATATGTATTCTTCTTATACTTGACATGATAATTATTATCTTTACAGAATCATACGCACCACCGCCATATTCAGCACACGACAAGACATACACGACTGGGATTGACTACAATACTAAAGATACAACAAACTATCCACAAAACATGCAATGTACTACCAACTCGACACCAGAACAGCCACCGCCTCCTTACCCAACATCACCACCTTACCCAACATCGCCACCATATCCGGATACAATCAACAATTATCCAACGCAACCGTATCCTTCAAACGATACTGCACACTCACAAGATCTTACCGCGCAGCCGCTGTCAAATCTGTATGAATCTAAACCGTCTTATGACAACCATGGCATGACGCAATAAATTAAAAAAATATATAAGAAAAATGACAGCACAAGATGCTCTGTTAAATCGAGACATTTTTTGAGAAATTTTAGTTTCTTGTAAAACTTTTTTTTATGAATTGAGTATTAAAAGAGCTGTTCGCACGGTATATGGATCAAGTTACCAGAAGTTTTCCATATTATTATTTTTCTATTTTAATAGCAAATTATATTTAGTTAAATACAAGAATGTGTTGTTTTAGCAATCTGACAAAATATGTTTACATATAAAATGATATTTAAAAATCAACAGTGGATAAGCATTCACACATAGAGCAGATCCGCTAACCTTACCATAGCACATTAGTTCCTAACCCCTCCTATTTTGAAGGGGTTCGTATTATTCAATCTAGTTCTTTATGTAGTGTTGTTTGGACTGTTTTGTTTTCTTTTTGTCAAGGTTTTGTCTGTCTTCTTTAATTCTTGCATGGAATTTAAATTCCTTATGGTACCTTATTTCCTATTTTTTTTACATCGTACAGATCGCCGCTCTTATTCTTTGTGTATATCGGTTGAAAAATAGAATCATATAAGTAAACATACCCCCAACAACAACAACACAGAAAAGAAAATCTATTAATTCATATTGAATACTAATATCCGAGTAGCAGTAAATACAATGCATGTTATAGTTAAAAATATGTAAATATATGATTTCACGTAAGCCATCAAAGCAAGAATCCTGTACTATTTATTATATATTGCAATTTTATTCGTTCTATAAATTAATATCAGAATGATTCTCGGGCTCTTCGTCTAAATTCATATCAAACGAAGCAAAACAAACCACATTCTAAAGGTGTTCCCATAATTTATATGTTGACAATCATATTAAAGAAAAGAACGAAAGAATCTATAGTGTTATTAGTTTCAAAATGTTCAGTAAAAATGATGCCAGGATTCTACAGTAAAAATATTTTGCCGTGCTTAGAAGTAAAACCATTTTATTTAATTTAATAAAACAGCATACTGTGTAGTCTATCTTACATAATTGATTATTCAATATCACGGTGGGTAAGGTTGTCCTGCGAGAGAACGTTCTGTGCTGGTGATTCGGTCCTGACTGGTGCTGGTGGGTCCTGATTCTGTGCTGGTGGGTTTGTTTACATTGTACCAGAACGGCAATAAAACAACTGTTCTGTTGCTTAATTTTTCTCTGATACTTCCTAAGTACCATGCGAGGATTATTACAATGATTTTTTATTTGAAAAAGTCGTGCAAATTCGCCAAACGAAATTGTCCTGACGATGTGCTGGTGATTAGAAAAACGGTCCTGGTTCTGTGCGCCTATGTCCTGGTTCTGTGCCTTTATATTTTAGTTAAAAGTGGCAAATATTCAAGATCATTGATGCAGAAAATTTGTATAATTGATAGAAAATATATCTAGCATATATTTGGTGGATATTTCATATGAGCCAAGTTGAGTCTGTTTTTTTTTATTTGATTTTTGAGAGGGGGTGCAAGATCTTTCTGTTGAGGTGTTTTGGCATTTTAAAACTTTTGTTAACTGTTATTTTGAAGATATATGTGCTGTTAACTGTTATTGACTAATTAGCTGTTATCTGTTTTCTTAAAATTGACATTGTTGTGAACTGTTATTATGAAAAAAAATACCCCTGTTTACTGTTTTTTGATTTTTGAATTCACTGTTTTCTCATTTAAGATGATTTAAAATGCTGTTATCGGTTATCAATATTTTAAATTTATTGTAATCTGATTTGAGCAAAATAAAAAAAATATTGACCTGTTAATTGAACCCCTCTTTTGACCCTTTGAGATAAGAAAATATGCATACGATTTTCGGGATTACGATCCTTTTGCATGACCATCAAAATACGGTGTAAAATATCCAATACCCATATAAAAAAGATTATCTTGCATGTTTGCAAATGGAAAAAAATTCCATCAGAAATCAAATGACTTGGTGTTAACAACTATGCGTAACCGTACGACCTTCAACAATGACCCGAAAAATCAAAATGTAAAAGGTTTTGCATAAAAATAGAGAGCATAAATATAGAATAAAGGACTGTTTTTCTAATAAAATTGAGAATGGAAATGGAGAATGTGTCAGAGACAACAACCCGACCAAAGAGCAGAAAACAGCCCACGGACACCAATGGGTCTTCAACACAGCGAGAAAATCCCGCACCCGGAGGCGGGCTTCAGCTGGTCCCTAAATAAAATGTGTACCACTTCAATGAAAATGGACGTCACACTAAATTCCATAGCATATAAATGAACTAAAATTACAAAAAACATTCAAGACTAACAAAGGCAAGAGGCTCCTGACTTGGGACAGGCGCAAAAATGCGGTGGGGTTAAACATGCTTTGTGAGATCTCAACCCTCCCCCTATACCTCTAGCCAATGTAGAATAAACAAACACACAGCAATACGCACAGTAAAACTCAGTTTAAAAGAAGTCAGAGTCCGTATCAGAATAGGTAACTAAAGAAACTAAGCAAAATGACAATGATACATAAATTAACAAGGGACTACTAACAGTTACTCCCATGCCAGTTCAAGACCTCAATTCAACTGATTGAAAGATTATGTCTTCATCATATGAAAATCAAGCACAACCTAAGTTGATCACGGCAAACTACCAGGTGAGTCTGAACATTTCTTAGATGAGTTTAGATAATACATTCAGTGTAGCCTAAGCATCCTGGATATTGTTTCTCTGACAAATTTGTACGATACTGTAGATACTTTTCTTTTTATTCAACCAAATGAATTTCAGCCTTGTTTCTGCACGTAGGAATCATGTGTCCTCAGCAGCTAAAATCAGATTTCTTTGTAACAATTTAGTGTTTACTAAAAGTATGACAATAATATTGCGGGTTTTTTTTTTGGAATAAGGAAGAGTGAGGTCACGGTGAAAGTTATTAAGCTTGGAATAGTTTTGAAATTCTAAAATTGTTGATAAAAAATAATTTGATGCAGATGATCAAGAACGATTTTATTACTGCAGTTGATAATTTTACCATAAAAACATTTTCCAAGAGGGGAAGGGGGGTTCCCGTAAGATTTAAAAGTTGTACTTTAAGAGAAAAATGTATCTATTAGCTATTAAGCATCATTTGCTGTACCTTTAAGCCTCTGGTCAACATAAAATTATTGTCTGATCGGTTGTCAGGGGGAATTTTCGAAAGTTCAATAAAACCTTTAAAAAAAATATTTAAATATTTCATGGAAGGGCAGACTAGAATTTGTCAGAAAATGAAGACTAGATAACCTAGATAACACAAACAAAAATAAGATTTGTTTAAGTTATGCATTTTAAATATCCAAAAGTAAAGTCTGTTGTCAAGGATTTTTGATAAAGAATTAAGGGGGAGTAAGTGAACGATGTGTCCTAATTTTCTATTTTTAACTATATTTCTTGAATAAAAATAAAATATGCCCAAATTTTGATTGAAAATGAGTGAAAAATGAGTGAACGAAAAAATAAAATACCAGACTAAGATGTACACTTTTAGTTAAATATTTGTAATAGCACGAAGCTTTTAATTTTTGTGTTTCAAACACACCTTCTCTGTAGTAATGACTCATTACAAAGGTATTTCACTTCATCCATTTATTTCATTTTTTGATAAGTACTGTGAATTCTCAGTATTATTATATTAACATGTAGCCTAAATATAAAGAAAAAATCGAATCTAAAGCCAGATATATCAAACATTTTATTTTTATTTTATACGTTTTCAGGAAAAAAACAATCAACTCAAACACGCCTTGAACGTAAAATGTGTACTCGTCTGTCTCTTTACGATAAGATAGTTGCCGATTTTTAGACCCCCCCCCAAAAAAAAAATACTGTTGCCGGGGGAGAGATGCAAATAAATGCTTTTTAAGATCAATATTTTATCTTTTCGTGCATGTTTTTTTTTCAGTTGAATTTAATGTTAAAAAATTACAATATCTCGTAGTTTCATACTACTAGTTGAGTATAAAAAAGTATATAAGATGCAAACAATCTTAAATTATACACCTACATTTGCCTTTTAAAAGCCATAAAAAACAGTTTTATACAATCCAAATATACAAACTTTACAAAACTTGGTTTAATTTCAACTGGTTATCAACCCGTTTCGCTCTGTATCAAGGGGCCGTGTGAGCTATTGACTTGACGTCCGTAATTAAAAAAAATCTTCTCTGAAATTGCTTGACCAAATGTTACCAAGTGAATTTTCCTGAGTGAATCTAGGAAAAAACAATATTCATCAACAAACATGACCACTGTTTGTTAAAATAAATTCGAGTTTTTAGTTTATATCGCAAAAGTTCAAGCAGTTAGCTTGGTTAGAGCAAAACTTACCGAGTAAAAATATTCAACAGGCCAATGTCTATCTACCTTGCACTTTTCAGAAAATTCAGATCAGATGCCGAAACTTGGTCCAGCAACATTTATCAGCAATACAAGATTTTGACCCACACAGTTTCCATTCAATACAAATATTCTTGTTGCAATGAATCATTTTAAATGCAAAAATACCAGTTGCAGCCTTTAGTTTGTTTATTTATATATGTGTATAGATTATCGGGTTTTCTACACATTGATATCGTAAAATATCAACCGCGAGCCACAATGTGAACCTTTTTGGCGAGTGAGCGCAGCGATCGAGAGAAAAAGCTTCACATTGTGTCGAGCAGCAGATATTTTATGATATCTATACGAAGAAAACCCGATTATCTGTTTATCGTTCTATAACTGGTCTTTTCCCCCTCCTTAAGACAGTTTTACGCTTGACGAAAGCAAGCTTGATAACGTCTCCTCTCACATTGTGACGTCGCTGATAACTTCTCCTCAGACATTGTGACGTCGCTGATAATGCCTGCTCTCGTCTCAAAGCCGTGATACGAGAATTACGGAGCGACTGAGCAGGGTGATATAGGCGTAGGGAAGGACGATAAATATGAATATATGAAGGGAAGCACGGTCACCAGGGTGTGAAATCCATGTCATCTGAAATAAATACTATGCATAGATCTAGAAATCGACAGATAATAATGACATTTAAAAAAAAAAAAACTCTCTTGTATTCGAAGTTTTTGCAGTTTTGTTTTGTCTAAACAAATTGACACACAAAATGAATATAGTATTGTGGAATTTTTTTAACTTAAAATGTTCGATACATTGGTAACACCGTTACTAGGATAATAATCCTGTCACGTATGAATTGGGTAAAAAGATGAAAATGTGAAAGTTTACGGGTGGTAGGTGCAACATGATACGACAGCTCACATGGCTCGTCAGGGTGGGAGCTAAAAAGTGGATCAAAGTCCATGAAAATTTGATTTAAAACCTTTATTCATTCCAACAAATTATTGAGATTTTGTTGAGGGTTTTACCATCTACGGCAACAAGAAAACTTTCAGAATTTAATGCAAAGAAGGTTTAAAGTCTTTCGCCAAAAATACTATCAATTTCTTCTTATCCTATGTGAAGCTCCATGCAATCTCCATCCCTTTATGATCAATAAATTGAACTGTAAAATACTACTTAGTATCTTCCACATGCTTTTATAATGTCTGATGTATACATATTTATGACAATAACTGTTGTGAGCACAAGATTCACTGCACAGTTTTAAAGTTTTGCTAAAACAAAAATTAAAATGTAAACTTAAGTTTTGCGAAATTTGTTTGATGTGTACCGATTGAGATTTTAATCTAAGAGAACATGGTTTCCAATGCTCCGTGTTGAAGGCCTATAATGGTTTACTTTTATAAATTGTAACTTGGATGGAGAGTTGTCTCATTGGCACTCATACCACATCTTCCTATATCTATTTATCTATTACTTGAACTAGCTTTCAGTAGCTGCGAGTACTCGTGGTTCAATAATTTGTGTCTTTATGTTATTATTTTGTGTGCTAAGTGGTGTGTTGTTACACCACTGTACCAATGAAGGAGGAAAGGAGGAGGGGTTGGGTGGGGTGTGGAGCACAAACAAACATGTTTAGCCCTGTCACGAGTGCCCAAAACCAGTGGTTGTCGATGCTTTCTATCTGTCATGTTTGTTTTTTGTTCAAAGTTGTATTTTAAATCAGGCCGAAGGTCTTCATTTTTTAATCGTTTACCGTGATTTTTATAGCTAGTATTCGTTATGGTTTTTGCTCGTTGTTGAAGGTCATACTTTGACTTGCAATTGTTCACATCTTGTTCCATTCTAGTAAGTTTTTATCAGTCATGTATGAAAAGCAAGTCTATGTAGTTTTTTTATCCAGTCGAAATGTATTGGAGACAGTGTATATATTAAGGAAGAAATTAGAGGCACCAGTAGTAAGATCATCTAACCTCGTATATTTAACTGAAATAAACCAGTCAAACGTTTATTGTCGTTATAATATACATGTCGCTTAACCTTAAGCACCTTTTAAAACTGTTTTAGTTAGCATATTATGTAGAGAATCATCAATTTAAGGGCATTTAATATCTTAAATAAAACTTTTCTAATTAGATATATTTTCATCTGATATTGGACGGAAGATGTTGCCCTTTTATGTAATATAAGTTACGATTATTTGAAAACGCTTATTAAACAGCCAAATGGATGCACAAAAGTAAAAATAGGAGTCACAAATCCGATTGAATACAATTATCTGCCCAATTTTATTGATTCTGTAACGTTTGTTTCAAATATAACCAACTGTTTACCAAAAATCACCAGCACCGTATCAGGACCCACCAGCACAATGACAGGACCCACCAGCACAGAATCATGACATGTCTAAACTGAGAAAATGCACAATTTTAATAAATTGCACAGGTTTTTTCACAAAATAATTTTGTCGTGTGGATTTGGGTATAGAAAGTGGACTCCAGGAGCTTTTTTTTTATTTTTTCAGTTCTAGATTTTCTAAAAATGAGCACTTTTGTGTTACGCTTACTGTAATTGTTTTCCTATGAACCCATAAGAAACAAAATTAAAACATCTCAACTGTTTCCTTCCATTTTTTATGCGAGAAAACGTCAAAATTCGTCATTTTCGTCTTTGTTTACATATTTTTAATGATCACCAGCACCAGTCAGGACCGAATCACCAGCACAGAACGTTCTCTCGCAGGACAACCTTACCCACCGTGAATATGCTTTTACTTTGTTTGCATGTGTTTATTGCATTCATCTTAAACGTTTTTTATTATTTTATTTGGCAATAAACATATGAATTCAAATCTCAATTTAGTCGCCAATCTAGTAAAATTATTTGACTGGACAACGTCTGCAAGTGAATTTTCATACTTCGTGGGTTTTTTTTTTCAAGATTCATATCTGAAGATTTGTTCCCCTTCATTACCTAACTTTTATGATTTATTGGTGACTGCTGAACACCCAGTTACAAATATTATAAAAGGATATAAAGATCAATGACATGTGAAAGCCAGGACCTATGTGTAACAGTCTCAGGCGAATTAAAGCGATATGAATATTAAGGTAAACAAATGCAACAGTCCAACCGAAATTTCAAACAGAACATTCCTCTGACTGCTACTTCACCCGTCTTGACCCCTTAAATAACTGGGTTCTTTCCGGAGAATTCATATACCTTTTTTTATAGTGGAAGTATATGACCCGACCACCTGAACATGAGGCAAGCACGCAGACTACCGACATGACCGAGGCGGTTACAATTTTACAACAATACTATCAGTTCAGGTAATGAAACACGAATCGGCTTGATTACACAATAAATAAGAAAAAAGTTGAGAACAGTGTGTAATAATACTCTGATATAGTGTAACAATACTTAAATAAAATGTGCAGTGAAATGTTACCCCAAAATAGGTGACTTGCAATTTTACCTACTTTGACAATAACTCGAGCTCGCTCCTAATTACAATTTGTACTAATATTTGCTGATTATGCATCTGTTTTATGATTAACTGATTGATTGCTGTTTACAACAACTTTTTTATTTTTAAAAGGTCGAGGTAATTTATTTTGTCAAGTACAATTTCATTTCAAGAAATAACAATCACGCGATATAGGAAGATGTGGTATGAGTGCCAATGAGACAACTCTCCATCCAAGTTACAATTTATAAAAGTAAACCATTATAGGTCAAGGTACGGCCTTCGACACGGAGCATTGGCTCACACCGAACAGCAAGCTATAAAGGGCCCCAAAAAATTACTAGTGTAAAACCATTCAAACGGAAAAACCAACGGTCTAATCTATAATAGAAAAACGAGAAACGAGAAACACGTATGAACTACATAAACAGACGACAACTACTGTAATCAGATTCCTGACTTAGGACAGGTGCAAACATTTGCAGCGGGATTAAACGTTTTAATGGTACCAAACCTTCTCCCTTTTCTGAAACAATAGTATAACATCACAACATAGAAAAACACACTATAAAATATGTTTTGTAAGATCTCAACGCGTCCCTATACTTCTAGCCAATGTGGAATAAATAAACACAAGCTCTGTTTAAAAGAAGTCCGAATCCGATGTTAGAATAGGTAACAGAAGAAACTAATCAAAATGACAATGATCAACATAAATTAACAAAGGACTACTAACAGGTACTGACATGAGGGCTCCAGACCTCAATCAAACTGATCGAAAGATTAGGTCTTCATCTTATGAAAATCAAGCACAATCCCTCCCGTTAGGGGTTAGTATCATGCCCTCATGAACTATACGAGAAGAACATAGCCTGTATCATGCTACAGCTGGATTTAGAATAAATGTGTTTATTTCTGATATAGAGACGCTATGAGTGAATTTATATTAGTTTCAAAAAACGCCATCTTTAATGACTTGACAACAGTATCGTAACTATATCCCTTCTGAATAAGTCTAAATGTTTTGTTAGCTTTTGATGTGAATGACGACATTTTTGTGCTTTGTATAGAATATTACCATAAAAGATGATATGTAAAATACCCGGAACGTATAACATGTCACCCCGTTGATTTATATTTACGAATGATGTCCTTGTACCGATGGTAAAATTTTGTAAAAGTTTTGCTAAGTTTATGATATCGAAAACCCTGGTGAAATAATCTTTCAGTAATTCAGAGATTTCTTTCGTTAACATCAATTACGGTGTTACATACACGAGCGAATCGAGCAAGTTGAGATATGTAAACACTATAAGATGGTGCCAAGGGTACGTCATCATCTTATAAACTGCTTCGCTGAGCGCAGCTGGATACGCCCGCAGAGGTCCAACCCTAAACAGTTGGGGCAAAAATGGACACAATCTTCAAGTTTGATACAGGTCTGAATTTGGATTGTAATTAAATATTTGATATATTATAGGTTTATGAATAAGTGTAGTCAAAGAACTTGAAATTGGTTATATGAAAGATTTCTTGCTGTTGTGCAATACACTGTGCTGTTGCGTAATACTTAGTAAATTTGTTGTCAGACTATAAATAAATTATATAACTCGGAAACATAAAATCGAAAATTTATAAAAATCAAAAGGGAGCTTACAAAAATAGATATAAACAATTTACTAAAGTTTCTTAAAAAGTGCTTAAAGCATTTTTGAGTTATTGTCCGAAAACTGGAAAATCCTCCTTTTTGTAATGAATATAAAACCCCATAAATCGGAAACGTATAGTCTGAAATTTATAAAAATCAAAAGGGAGCTTATGTCGATAGAAATAAACAATTCACAAAAGTTTCTTGCAAATTGGTGAAATTTTTTTGAGTTATTGTCTGAAAACTGGAAAATCCCTCCTTTTTAATGAATAAAACCCCAGAACTCGGAAATGGTAAACCTGAAATTTATAAAAAACGAAAGGGAGCTCACGTCAATAGATATAAACAATTCACTAAAGTTTCATGCATATTGGTTAAAGCGTTTTTGAATTAATGTCCGACATGTTGACGACGGACGGACGGACAGACGGACGGACAGACGGACGGACAGACGGACAGACGGACGGACAGACGGACAGACGGACGGACGGACAGACGGTCAACGGTATACCATAATACGTCCCGTAAACGGGCGTACAAAAATGGATTAACAATAGGAAACAAAAAATCCTCTCTTTTACCGTTATTTTTAGTATTAAGCTTCCTGATATCAAGATCCAGGAAAGGACAGTGTTCCTTAAGTCTATTGCCTTTGGGTTCTTATGGTTTTTATTTTTTTATTTTTTGCTTATGTGCTTTGTCTATATGTGCTTTGTCTACATGCCATTTTGTTTTTCTTTGTTGAGTCAGACATATTTTTTTTTATAGTGATTAAGATTTTAACACAATGTTGACTGATATACAAATATTTTTGACATTTTTACCCATTATGTCTAGGTTTTTTCACACATTGTTGTCAATATAATGGAATTTTATGAGACTGTCATACAAGTGAGAGGTTTAGCTAGCTATAAAACCAGGTTTAATCCACCATTTTCCACACAAGGAAATGCCTGTACCAAGTCAGGAATATAACAGCTGATTTCCTTTGCCATTTGATAAGGGACTTTCCGATTTGAATTTTCCTTGGAGTTCGGTATTTTTGTTATTTTACTTTTTCTGAACCGTTCTAAAGATAAAAGGGTCAAAGCGGCGTCAAACTAACTTTTTAATTATCATTTTCTTCCATATAGTACTTTTTCGTATGTAAATTTCTTCGGAATTCCTGCTTTCACATTTTAATCGATTTGTTACAGATCGAACCATAATCATGCATATTTTGGTAGACCAGAAATTTTAACTTAATTGTAGTTCGATTTTATTGTTATTTTATACTTTCGATCAAATTAGTTGCCGGCCCATATAAACTGTATATAGGTCGACAAAGTTTTTTAATTTTACTATTTTAATACGATTTTGGTGCAGGTTTTCTTTCGAGTCATGATGAAATTGTTTTCTGTATTTTTACAGCTGCCGATGGTTATAAGGTGCTTAAAGAATCGGAAATCATACTTTACGTTTTTTTTTAAATAATGTTTTGTTTTTTGATACGGTTTGGATACCTGGACCAATATTCTTTTTGAAGAAAAAGAGGGACGAAAGATGACATTTAAATTCATAAGTCAAAAACAAACTGACAATACTATAGCAAAAAAAACGTAAAACGACGAATAGAAAAACAACTGTTAACATACCACAACATAGAAAAAACTAAAGACTGAGCAACACGAACCCCACTAAATACTCTTAAAAAAGTCTTTTTTTTGTAAAGTCCCTAAGCTAACGGATTTTGTACAATTCATACGATTTCCAAGCTTAAAAAAGGGTCAACCTCAATTTCAAATTAGGTTGCCGAAAATTGTTTTGTAATACTTTTTAGAAAATTTATAGAAAGAACTGCTGGGCCCGTATGCATAAAACATCTTAACTTAAGTGTTCCTTAAACTTAGATTTCACTAAGAATTCCCTTAGTTAAGTAAAATTCTTAAGTGGTATGCATAAAATTACTTAAGTCATCACTTAACTTAGGAATACTTAAATCGGAACCTTTCTCTAATTACCGTATGATATATGATAGCTCATCGCATGCACTCTTCCGTGTAAAAGTTTGTTTTGATTATTTACATTAATTGAACAATACATACTTTTATTAACTTTAAACTTGGTTTAAATGGATGTTGGTGTGTAAAACAATTAAAAAATACGTAACCACTTTAAATGTCCAAACAAATAAAAAATTGGCGCATAAGAGAAAAAAATATTTGTAATGCAAAACTTCCCCCTACTGTTACTAAAGGAGAGATGAAACGGGCTTGACAGGAAATTGATTGATGTATTGATGCTTGCCTAAAGTCCAATGGCAAATATGTCATGCATCATCAGGACGAGAACAAATAACCAATACCAATCTCTCTCTACACGATCCCAATTCTGACCGTACGTGGTTGTGTACTTATACATCCTGGAAAAACGGACGCCCCACTTTGACAAGGAGGAGTCTCTAAATGGATACTCAACATTATCTTGTAGCAAATCATCCATCTAATAATGATATATGATAGTAAAATCTTCATTTAAAAAAGGTTCCAATTTGTCGTATTTATCAAACAGATTTGTTCCATCTCTAAGGCACCGACCATTCATCTTTTATGGGTGTTGCTGGATGGAAGGCATGTTTATTTTCTAGAGACAACAATATATTTTTTAATCCTAAAATATATGATAAGGTGTTTTGAAATCTATTTCGATTTGAAACTTTTTTTTCACTTCCTTTTTATAAAAATAAAAAAAGAGGGTAGGGTCAATTTTCCACGAAATCATAGCAAATCAGGGGCCTTTTTCAAAAGCCCTTCGAATTTTTACTTAAACACACATTATTAGATTCAGATGTTTACTGTAAGGTATTATCAACATCTTTGCGTATTTCTGAATATTTCACTTGAAAGTTATCAACGCGGAAAGATAATTCAAAACTGCATGCATTCTGGCCAGATTTTAGAAAATTTGAGCAATTATCTAAAACTGACGAGAAGGATTTTCTTAACTAAAACCAAAATTTTTTGGAAGTTATGACATACATTTCTTACAGATACACCATAATTTATTTAAAGTTAAAGTCTTCCTTCTTTGCAAAATTTGCAGAATATATAAGGAAATACAAAAAAGTATTGAATACGGATTAAGTATCATGAATATATCATATATATAAACTTCGAATTCCACGGAGTAGGTCTTAAAACGTTTTGTTTTGTCCCAGTTAGTGAAACAAATTTAGG